CTGACGACTTTCTTCGTATCGCAGAGAACCAGTTTGAAGAAGAAAGATGACGCTGTCGCCGCCTATTCGGTCTTCGCCTGCTTCCGCCTATTTGTTGCCGCGGTTGCATGACTATGCTATCAGAAAGTAGCCGTCGACGCAAGTTTTCATGAAATAAGTGACCACAGATCCTCTCAAATATAAAGTAAATAAGATGGAAACCAAAGCCACCAGCAGACTGAAGAAACATGGAGTAATGGATTCATTTCTATTTATGGAACAGCATGTTGCTTGTAAGTCAGATCCGCATCATGAAGGGAATTTCAGTCTATTTTCAGTGTATATTAAAACGGTGGACAGTGTTGAAGGCGCGCTCTGATTGACTATCCTTTGCAATTTGTGGGATTTGGGATTTGCGCACGAAAATAGTGTAATCGTTACTGAAATAAATGAGTTAAAATCACATTTATGTGCGATATTATCTCACTGTTTTAGCATTTATAATATAAAACAACTTTTCACCTCAGTGTCCTTGGTCAGTGGTGGATATTTACCGAGCCGCGAGGCGGCGAGGCAAATATCGACCACTAGCCACTGAATAGTTACTAAATAAAATCTTGGCTATATTTTTGTGAGTCGATTTATGTGTGCGACTTGGTTACCTTATAGAATTATTTTCAGAAGACCACGATGCTGCAGCGAGAATATCTACGTTTGCAAACATATTAAAGCAGGTTTCTGTAATCTACACTGTCCAGCAGCAGAACTGAGAAAACCGTACAAGGAATTAATATTAACTTATAAACTGACTAAATAGCCTGTAGCTCCCATTGCCTTTTTACATCTTTAAACCTGCTAGACGTAATCTTTGCTCATCCGGTTCTAAAGAGTTAGAAAGGAAAGTTTGTTCTATCTTTATCCAATTTTACGGAGCAAACTCTACCCACCTTTTCAACGAATTTTGAAAGAATTATTGAAGTAGTGGTTAATTTTACTCATGAGAATGTATAATACATATAACTTGTATCCTCTCATCAATATTCACGTAGCTTGAAGAGCAACGTTTTTTAATAATTATGTTAAAAAGGAATCTATCTGTAAAGCAAGAATTTACATTTGAAAGTAACTTTCATTAACATTTGTGACGCACTACTCGCCGGTTTCCTTCAAAACGGCGCTTTCAGATACCTTTTGGGGTAACACTAAAAACATGCACCTTCAACTGACCCAGCCACCATAGGAAAAAAACTTTCCTCGTGTGAGGGGTCTACTGATGGTCCATAAAATTTATAGTTTGAAAACCAATTGACTGCTGCACGTCGAATGTCCACGGTAGTATTATTCAGTGCCTCATCTTATTCAACTATTCGTCATTTTATTCAACTTCAGTCCAACTTACATTCAACTATTCAACCAATTTTTAATTTCATTTCAACTCATTATCCAAGTATTCAATCTTATTCAAGCCCAATTTAAACTCTCTTTCAAATGTTCAACTCATATTCAACTAAAATTCTACAACCTGTCGCTAAACGTATCAACCCTTATTCATCCTCTTTAGACAATTCTGCATTCAATATTAAGGGAAACAAGTAGAGACGCTTACCGACTTCTTTTTATTGTTGCGGGCGAGATTTTTTATGCTTTTCTCTGAGACATCAGAGATTTTAATTGGGAGCCGTACAAAATAGTTGTCAAAAGGAAAACCCTCATCTAGGCTTTCCTCCAGAGTTGAATAGCAATGTAAAAGTTTTAAATAATGTTAAACAGGGGCTAAATGAAAAGTAAATGATACGGACTTAAATATTGCTTCAATTGACTTACCATACATGACCGTTAAAAGTTCCAAAAAATTGACCAATATTTGTAAGCGTAACAGTGGATCCCTAAAATGGGCGGTAAGACTGCACTCCTTGCTTTCGTTTTAGACAATTGAATTAAAAAGACTAAACGCTGACGCCATGGCAGGGGCTTTTTGAATTACGAGTTCGCCGTAGAATCCGATGAACCCTTTTTCAACCGGTGTCGCGATTGAAAGAAACACTGCGGAATGGGATATCACGAGCGAAATTGGACCGAATGAAAAGGGGTTTCCGGAAACGATCACATCTCCAACAACAGGCAGTAGTTTTGAAGGTAAAACCGATCGACTGGAAACGGCCGGAAGTGGACCGCAGAGGTCATGCGTTCAAATCCCCAACGGGCCTGAATTTTTTTCAGGTCTCATTTCAACTACTAGTTCAGTAGTGTTCATAGCTGCGAGGATCGCTTATATCTCATTTCTTCACCGCAGTACACATATGTGATTTTCATGTATTTCCAGTCATTATTCACTGGCTGGAAGTGATTTAAATTTTTTCGGTTAAATGGGAACTTGTGTCATAGCACTTGCAGGTGCTGTGATTTTCCTTCGAACTCGCTATATTTTGTTTGATCTTTTGTCATTTACTGTGATCACAACCACCGATCTCAGTACCTTCATCCCTGACCCTTTATTCAGGCCTCAAAATCAGAGATTCAAGAGGCGAGGTTCGAACACAAAGATATTTTGAGTTCAACAAAAATCAATTCATGTGTATTTCATAAAGTGACTTTGATCCTCCCAAAATAAATAATCTCACTCTAACTGCTTTTGCTGTACTTTATTAATCTTTCTATTCCATTATGAAACAGAACTCAACTAAGCCAAGGGGAAACGAGATGTTGTGGCAAGCCTACGATGACTCTTCATTTACCCAGTGATTCAGCAAAAAACAGTCATCACCGTGTGGATTGTAACATAGAGTCTCCTCTACTAACTATGATTGTAATTATGACTTTTTCCGCGTTTTTGAAAAATAAGTGGAAAACGTACAAACTATCAAGGCATTTGGTGAGGGAATTTAAAGAAGGCTTCACGTTGATTGGTGTACTCTTGGTGTACTCTTGGTGTACTCTTGGTGTACTCTTGGTGTACTCTTGGTGTACTCTTGGTGTACTCTTGGTGTACTCTTGGTGTACTCTCGCCCTGGAGATAGTCATTTACTCACAGGTATTTAATGGATACACAATATGTCATTTCCATGTGTGAGTGCACGTTCCTTGCGTTATTAATTTGTGTCCTACAGGGACACATTATCCTATAGAAGCTTTGCATAGGACCAGTTGTCCCTGTAATGTGCCTTGGCTTCCTTTCATTTGAATCGAGGGCTATCGGTGCCCAATATCTATGGACCAATTGTGCCTTACAATATGGGACCATCTGCGCTCGAGAGTTTCTATGCCCAAGAGTATGGGAGCATCTGTGCTCGAGAGTTTTTGTATTGGAGTAGAAAGTTAAAGACATAAGACATCTTAGCTAGGTTTTGGCGAAGAGTTTATCTGTTTTATTTTATTTGCGGAAACATCAGTAAAAAAAAAAAAATTAAAAAATAAACAAAAGAGAAAAAAAAAAAAAGGAAGAAGGAAAGAGAGAAAGAAGGTAAACAAAGTAAAAACAAATAAGCAAAAAAACATGGAATCATGGCCCCATTCCTCATTTACGCCGAGCGATTAAATCAAAGAGGATATGATGTGCATGTGATGATCAGAAGTTCAGTTGTGTAAGCACTTCACCTTGAACCGAGATAAGGATTACCCCTTCTACTAAACAGAGACACCGGAAATTTCATCAGTCTGGAATCAGTCGGGAACCTAATCACTTTTTCTTACTACTTAAATACGACACAGATTCTAGTATTACAATTAACACAACCTGCGTACAGCTTGGGCTAATCTTGGCATATATACATTAGTTATGCTCGAAATTCACAGTGTAGCTGTAGAGCTAATATCTTCGAGAAAATAAGCTAAAATAAAATGAAATAGGCTATATTACAATTCCAGTATTATTTATAAACTATATACAACATTATGCATGCAGAGGGAAATATAACTTGTAGATCTATTGTGGAAAAGCTTCATATCTAAGGATCTCCTGCTTGAATTCTTGAAAATTTAATGTTTTGTAAGCATGCCTTATTCAATCGTTACGATTCACGATAGTGTTGGGTTTGCAACTGAACTCGAATGTTTTTTATTATGTCCAGCGATACTTCGTAGACAGCCTAAAGTGAAGATCTTTTTGCAAGTCCCCGAAAAACATTTGTGACCCCCAAACACATCACGTACTTGTACATGTAGCGTCCGCAAAATGTCACGCATATCATACCTTTGTCACACCTGACAGTTACTTTCCGCGTGCTTCTCACTATACCCCTATACGTGGACCACTAAAGGTCGAATAAAGACATCGCATTCACTATGTGAATATAAGCAAGCTAATTTTCCCTATTATTGAAAACTCCTTGATGTTTAATCTAAAACTAGGATGTGACATTTTTTTTGTTTCGTTATTGTTGATTAGGCCCTTCTTTCTTAAGGACATCTCGTGTCTACTTACACGGACACTTGGTCACATGACCCTGAAAGCCAGAGTTTCTCGCACGTGCTTCTTTTGTGTGTTTTCCAAATGTTTTTTTAACTGTCTTCTTTGGCACAGAATTTAAATGCATCGTTGTCTTAGGTTTTCCATGTAGTTGTCCTTTAAATTTATTTGACATTTAACCTGACCTTATAGAGCGGAACCACTTTCGCGATTCGTAAGTGAATGAAATATTATTGTCACAACGCAACACCTGACGAAGTCTGCTATTGTCAGACGAAACACGTGGAAGATAAAACAAGTTTGTTCAATTTCAATTCGTGCAGTTCTGCTCACTAGTTTATCATTCTAAACAGGGTAATGGGCTCCTGGTCTGGAATCAGTCAGGGACCTCATTACAATTACTTACCACATGATTACAACCCAGATTGTACTATTTCAATTTACGCTTGAACTTACACAATCCGTGTAGAGCAAGGGCTAATCTTGGCATGTCTGGCGTGACATCACTCAAAGGTTAAATATAGGTGAGGACGTATTTACACAAATATTCTCATTCGTCGCCCACATGCCATTATTTAGCTGACCTTAACTAAAACGATTAAACCGTTCGCTGGCCGCATTGAAGTAAGAGCGTTGCTCTTTCAAAATCCATAAAAGAGAAATTTATTGTTGTCTGTTGGTGTTAACCGCTCAGTTGCGATGGATGTTGAGTTGGGAAACAAACCCGGCGACAGCCATGATGGTGGAGAGGATCTAAATGGTACGAAGCTGAAGATATCCGTCGTTGAGAGGATTGGTACTCCGCCGCCGAAAGAAAAGGAAGCTATGGGCGCTGCTGACGACACTGCTCTCGAAAACGACGACAAGAGGTAAAAAATATGATCGTACTTTGATACTGATTGTACATATCAAGATCTTACTTTTATTTCGTAAATGTACCAACAACAATAACAGCGACTCAGTTTTTCATTTGATTCGATTGAAATAAAAAAGAAAAAAAACTTTCCTGGCATGGCTATTTGACAAAAGGCCTTTTGCTCCCTCATCGCTCTGTATATGGGGAAATGAAGGTGAATACTGAAGGGAGAATCGAATGAACAAGATGGATTTCGGCTTGAAGTAATAGTGGCAAGAAGTGTTGACAGACAGGTAACGTCTCCACCCTACGAATACTAATACTAGTACTTTGGCACTTGCAGCTCTGCTCTTGTGATTTGGAAATATCTCAGGAAGTTTCCTCTTCCTTAGATCGCAAGGCTTATAAATTTCTCCACATGAAGGCTAACTTTCACTGAAAAGCCACAGTTTCATTAATATTTCCTTTAAATTCAATATTGATGGGTGATATTGCGTGACAAGAGGTTCTTCAATTCGAAATGTCACCTCTGGGAATAATTTATATTCACTTCGCATGTTCATTGTACGCCGATTAAGCTGATTTGGAGCAAGATTAATGGTGGTGAAGATCCAAAGTTTTGCTTTCCCATCTAAAGTAAACGATCCTCCGCAAATACGTAACCATGTATATGTTTATTATTTACGGAGTTGTATTGCTATACTTTGTAAAGGTGGTATTCCTAACCTAAAAATCTGAACAAGTTTTGAATTAAACAAACTTACCTCGCTTCTGAGCTTGCTCCTCCGCTTCCTTTGCGTTTCTTAAAGCAATCTGCGGTCGTTAAGCTTGTCCTTAGTGCCTTTGTTTGTTCTCCAGTAAATCCTTCGAATAAAGACAGAATCGATTAAATATTCGGCAAAGACGAGCTGTAAATCAGTCAAGAAAACACACGAGTTGCAAACGAACAAACACAAAGACAGAAGGGTTGTGAATTTGTTTTGACTCAAAACTAGTTTAGAATTTCCAAGTAACAGATGCGATCGTTCATTCCCATACTAATTCTCATATTTCGCCTCTTAACTTAGAATAAACATAGTTACGTATTTACAATCTAGTAATGTGCGAGCCTTGTCGACGTGTGGTCTCATTGGTTAGATCTTTCTCTCTGGTGGTGTTAAAGTAGTTTTCTCTCTTAAGGCTAAGTTGTGATAGCTCCAAAGTCCGTTTTTTTTTCCATACGAGGAAGGCGATGAGTAGAGCGATGAGAGTCGAGGACTTGTTAGGAGCATTCACCTCTCAAAAGTGTCAAGCGATGTTTAGTCTCAATCATGGTTTTGCAAAACGTCTGTCATGCTTCTAGCAGCCTTCATTCTGGGTTAGTCCGCCACGCGAGGTATGAGACTGAAATACTGGGAGCCTGAGTTTTCTCCCGCGCACTTTGCTCAGTGCTAATGCTCGGCCTCCCAATTTTTTAGCTCCTCTGATTTCTCTTTGACCTGCGTGGTGGGGTGGAAAGGAGAGACTGCTCATAGTCTAATAACTTCATTATCCACTTTTATTGTCCGGTAAATATATTCACCTTATATGCTAAAAACGATGCCGCAACATTAAAAAACCATAAAGTTGCTTGAGATTAGACCTGCTCACTCTATAAATTTTGATATCAGCTCTCTCGATTCTTTATTCGTACTTTCCTAAGACTAAACTCTGAGAATTCATTTTTAAAAAATAAAATGATTTATTTATTGCTCACTTTTGGGAGGGGAAAGCTTATACATGTACTGACCAAGCAATTCTTTTGCAAAATATACTGATTATAGGTTGTTCCAACGAGGAAAAGTGCTGGTCTCGTTACCTAGGGGTGTTAAGGGTGTTCTTGAAACGCTTATTATCTCTTAAGCAAGTGTAGCGTGACTTTTCGTCGCTGTATTTAAACGGAAAGGTGACGTGAATTAATACTCCAGTGCATGTAGGATTTTATTTCAGCAGATTAATCATTATCCATCTTTCATTACTTTCGATTCGTGCCTAGTTAAAAAGTCAGAAGCAGTACCTTCAAAATGCCTAAAAGATCATGAATGATTGTTAGATGTAAAACTCTAACACTCGTTGTCTTGTTGTCTCTTTCTTTATTCTCTCTTACTTCACAAGTTATTACAACGGGGACTAGCTCTGATCTCTGGAGGAAAGTGTGGGTCACCGTTTACAAAGGTGACACTTACTGAGCTGTCAATCTCTAACCTTCGTCATGTTTTTACACTTAAATAGCGAATCACGTTGGGCTACGGAAAACGGTGTTCGCAGAGTAGATACCTTCGCGATACCTTCGCGATGTTTACGCTTTACGAAATGTCTCTCTGGCTTAAATTTCTTGGTCTTACAGTCAAGTTTGGGAAAAACGAAAACAAGATTGACAATATAAAATTATAATAAACTTAGTAACAGAATTAAAATCATACTTGAAAAGGTATCCTAAAATAAAATTGTCCTTGAAGGCTGTTGCATAACAGCAGAATAAACACAAAATTCGCCTCTAAAAGAGCTACGTGCTAGTCGTATAAGTTATCTTATTATAAATTCAGTGCGGAAGATGAAAAGTACAACATGTTTACACCTTAAGTCACCTCTAAGAAATTAAAATTGACAACTATTCTTCTAATCGGGAATTCGATATGGATTTAGCCTAAAAGCGAGAGTAAATGGATAAAAGTATAAAGGAGAATTATTTCCAGGAAATTCCTGTACGGGATCAATTTTTATAGGGTAGAGTCATTTTCTTAGTCATTAATTATTTTTTTAGCAACATAATGAAAATATACCGGTATCTAGCCGCAAACCGCAGTTTACGCAAAAATGTCTCCATGTCAATTTCACGATCACAATAAAGAAAAGGTGGACAAACTCTGTCTGTAAGGTAAGACCGCTAAAAGGAATAAGAAATGATCAACTGGCTTATTACTATGTTTACTGAATGGCTTATGGAAATATGTTATTTCCATTCATTTTCCAACACCAATATAGGAAACCCTTACAATGTTTTAAGGTTAGATATATTTCTATTTTTATCGTTTAACATGATTTATGCTTCCTCCTACAGCTTTGAATTGTGTTTACCTGTAAATACGCATTTGCATGTGTACCTTTTTAATAGAAGAGCCAAAAATTGAAATTATATTGATTATATGATTGTATTTTATGCAGCAGTGATGAAAAGAAAGAAAAGGAAACCAAAAAAGAGGAGAGCCAACCAACAGTACCAGTAGGCCAACTGGTAAGTTGTGAAACTCCACATCGGTAATAAGAGATGTTAGTCATTCCTATTTAGCTAGAATCAAACCAAAACAATCATAGTATGGGAAAACATGAAGATGTAAACGACGACTCCTGCGCACATAATCCGCGGCAATTCACTGAAACAGTGGTTGAGAGGAAGAACTGAAGAGCTTAGCATAAACTAGCAGCTTTTAGCATCGATTTCCACAACAATGATGGGCTTCTTCAGAGGTTTTTCAAGAGGCGATAATTGAGGGACTAATCAGTGATATATATAAACAAGTCTTCGATTACTGTTCGGCACATTTCTTTGAATGATTCTCCAAAATAATGTTGATTTTTCACCATTTTTTTTGCAGTTTCGTTTTAGCGATAAGTTAGATGTCCTGCTCATGATACTTGGAACTTTATCTGCTATGGGCCTTGGTGCCACCTTTCCACTCCAGTTTATCATCTTTGGGGATCTTATCAACACCTTCATCGATTATACTAAATATCAATCACCAAATAATACGCAGCCATTTGATCTCGATAAAGAGATGACGAAGTTTGCGTTGTACTATGTTTACATCTCTATTGGAACTTTGATTGTGGCTTATGGTCACATGGGACTGTGGTCACTTACTGCCACACGCCAAGTGAATAAAATGCGCTTGGCCTTCTTTAAATCTGTTTTGAAACAAGACATTGGTTGGTTTGATACAACTGATTCAGGAGAACTAAACACTCGTCTCAATGAGTGAGTATTTAATGATTAATCAGAGACAACTTCTTCATTCAGGGTTCAAGGTTTTTAAGGCGTGATTTTTTTGTCTATCATCTGAGACCATGGTACACATTTCGCAATACTGATTCGAGGATGGGTACATTTTTAAGAAAGCGAGTGGCAAGCCCTTTTTCAAAATTAGAGAACTCCTTATTTATTTGAATGAAAAATGTGGGATTTATAGCCAGGAATCATGATTTAGATTTTTGCAGGCTGACTTGGTTGGTTATCAGAATGGATGCATTCAAAGTGGGAAGCTCGTCGTTAGCGTATTCACAATTTGAAATTAACAAACAATGCAATTCAGCAAATGCATCGTTATAAAGTGTGAAGCTCCGATACTTGATTGAATTCTTTATTTCCTCTTCGTTGTGTTTATTGTTGTTTTATTTGTGGTTTTATTTTTGCGTTCCTCAGAGCAATGCTATCGTATTCTTCACTTCCCTCCCTCCGAGGTATTATTAATATTTAAACGCTGTGACATTGTGTTTACTGAAACTGATTAGATGTCCTTACTACTGCCCGTAGAGATCTGAACAAAGTGGATGATGGTATTGGTCATAAGATTGGCTTGTTCATTCAAGCCATGACGACCGTGATTATAGGGTTTGTGATGGGATTTGCGTATGGTTGGAAACTTACCCTCGTTATCATCGCTGTGAGTCCGCTGCTTGTCATTGCTGGCGCCTTGATAGGAAAGGTAATCAATTATCTAGACGTGCGGTTTGCCATTTTCCTCACAGCAGAGCTCGTATAGTTATACGGCGCGTATCGTCGTGTTAGTGATACAATCACCAGCCGGAAACGTTTTTAAATACAAATAGTTAGTCTATGGGAAGGGAGTACTTCCTATACATGAGTGAGCTACAAGAGGATGTAACGTCTAAGTATTTTCCTTTTCCTCAAGGAAACACTATCATACCGAAGCGTGTATCGGGTAAAAAGAGAGAAGCCGTGAGTTGTAAATGGCTTCCTCCTTGGCTTGAAGTAAGCTGCAAAAGAATTATGAAGAGTTCGATTGCAACCAACGACTTTTGTGTTCTTAAATGTTAGACATTAATACTATCTTATCCCAGCAGCTTGAAATGCATATGAATGAATCCCAAACGTTGAAATACCACCTTAAAGTGTCTGTTAACCTAGGATCATCAATGATCAACATCGGATCTATTTGTCTTATTTTCTCATCGATGAAATGTCTCTGTTATGATTACTAAAAAAATTTGTATTGAAGCTGCCTTGAGCAACCTTTAAAATGTTGCAGGTAATGACTGCCATGACAACCAAAGGTCTTAATTCTTACGCTAAAGCTGGTAGCGTAGCAGAAGAAGTGCTTTCATCAATCAGAACTGTGGTTGCATTCGGAGGAGAAAAGAAAGAAATTGAGAGGTAAACCAAGAATGTGGATATGATTTCACCACCCACTATACCTCAATAACGTATGACTCTGGGGATAGGGGTGTTAGAAGCGTGCCTGGGATTTCTCATGGGGGTGGCACGGTAACGAATTTCAGCGCCTTTTACCTGGAGTTACTTATATCGCTGCTCTTTCATGTGTATCAACGGGCTCGAATTAACGCAGTACGAAATGTTTCACATAGCTGATCACGTGAAGTCAGTTGTTTAGCAGCCTCCAAGTAGGCAACATTTTCTGATTGAAACGATCTCATTCCTGACTAATCAAAGTTAAAACTGGTTATAATTGAATAACATTTTTCAATGAAAATCTGTACAAAAAGATTTAAGATTAACTCGCGGTGCTTCTTCTGAGTTACATGAAGATCTCTTTTTTGTATCGTAACTGTTACTGTTCGTCATCTTCTACTTTATTTTTGTGTTAAACTTTCCAGGTATTCATCCCTCTTGAAAGAAGCTCGTGACTTTGGAATCAAAAAAGGTTTAATGACTGGACTAGGCATTGGATTTTTTCAACTTGTTATTTACGGAAGTTATGCCTTAGCCTTTTGGTATGTATGGGGCCTTTTCTACCTTTTTTTTTATATACATGTTTTCCTACGTATGTCTACCCATTTTTTCGCGTAACCTATTATCTAAAGTATGAACGTATTTATCTGTCAACCCTCCATTAATTCAGGTACTCATCTCACCGTCATTCCTACCTGGCAATAAACATGTAGCCCTCCAAACAGCCAACTGTATTTCATCAGCTACTGGGCTTTTAACGCTTCTTGTACTAAACTTTCTTGTTTGTTCCTATATTCACAGGTATGGCTCAACGTTAATAATTGATGAGAAAATGACGGGAGGACAAATGCTTATTGTAAGAAAATATCGCATTACTTGTTATTTTTTCAAGGAAATTGTTCAGCTTTGCAATTTGTTTTATTTGCATTCTTCAGGTGTTTTTTTCAGTCATGTTTGGGGCCATGCAGTTAGGTCAGGCTGGGCCACACATGGAAGCCATAGCTGCAGCTAGGGGAGCAGCATACAAAGTGTTTTTTATCATTGACAGGGTAAGTAGCAAATTGTTTTTTGTTATTTTAAACAAACTCAGTTTAACTACGGCTGATTACGGCTAATTTTGAGCTGGAACGGACATCAGCTGTATTTTGATAGGAATCATTTGTCAGTTATTGTACTTAGGCGACTGAAAACTTGAGAGTGCCATGTTAAGTGCATAGCGATTGAGGAGATGTTTGCATTATTTACGCCTTGGTGAACAGCCATTTTGTCATAAATTGTCTGCGACGTTTAATGCTGAACGGAGCCATAGATATATTTTTTTTTCTTGGGAAGGGTATTAAGAGAATAAGTTGGTGTCTACCTAGTAAAGAAACTTCCTTATAAAAAAAATGAGTTCACGTAATAATTTGTATAACTTCCCCATCCAAATGAATAATTATCAGTCTAATACGCTTACATCTATTCTTGGAGATCTAAAGTGGGTGTCATTTAGGCGTCTCAACATAAAGTTAATTCATTTCACTTTTTTTCTTTCTCCTAATGTGAGATTCCACCAATTGACTCCAGTTCTACTGATGGATTGCAAATTGATCAAAGTTCCTTAAAGGGAAGGGTAGAGTTAAAAAGCATTGAATTCTGGTATCCTTCAAGACCCGACGTAAAGGTATGTTTCAGTTGTAAAGATGTTAAATGAAAAGGGAGAAGGAGAAATTTGTCCTCTCTCTAGTAGTTTATGTGATAGTTATGATTGTTTAATATTCTGCTCTAGAAACATATGTGCGAAGTATTTTACACCAAACATCAACATTATTGAAATACGAAGACTTAATGTCTTTCAAAGGAAAAAGAAAATCTTGGCCATTTTTTTTTTCAGATTTTAAACAGTTTGACTCTGGCTGTCGAAAGCGGACAGACTGTGGCATTGGTAGGTGAGAGTGGCTGTGGAAAGAGTACAGTAGTTAAGCTTTTACAGAGGTTCTATGACGCAAGTAATGGTGAGGTAAGTTTAAACTTGATACTGATAGAGTATACAGTAAACAAAATCAAATTTCGTCAAGAAAGGGTCCCATGCGTTTTTTTTTTTTTTAATTAAGCGAATTTTAGATGAAATGTTTCTCTGAACAAACATCTCACTCAACGAATTAAGTTAAGATCCTGATGGGAATCAGATCCCAGTGACTGCTTGCTCGACGTATTTACTCTTCTGTCTTTTAAGGTTTCTGTTGATGGTCATGACGTTCGTTCTCTAAACTTAAAATGGTTGCGTGAGCAAATTGGTGTTGTGAGTCAAGAGCCAGTTCTTTTTGCCACCACAATAGCTGAGAACATCAGGTATGGTAAAGATGGCGTGACACAGGATGACATTGAAAGGGCAACAAAGATGGCGAATGCCCACGACTTTATCAAAGGTCTTCCTCAAGTAAGTAGAGACGTAATTAACTGATGAAATGGCCTTTTCGAAATCTCATACTAATAGAAGGAAAAAAGTCCTGAGCCATTTTCTTCCAGCTTAAAGGCCTAGTGAAATCGAGAAATGCGCGTTAAACTTTTTGGAAAATAATTTAATTATTGCACTGTTTGTCAGGGCTATGATACTCTTGTTGGTGAACGAGGAACTCAACTCAGCGGAGGACAGAAGCAGCGTATTGCCATTGCACGAGCTCTGGTAAAAGATCCAAGGATTCTGTTGTTAGATGAAGCAACATCAGCACTGGACAGTGAAAGTGAATCAATCGTACAAGCTGCTTTGGATAAAGTAAGTAACCAGAAAATAAACGAAACATCATTCACTTGTAAGGGTTTTCCTCCACGTTGTCAAGACATTTTGTATAAGATAATAATAATAATAAAAAAAGAAGTGCAACGTCTTGATTGTGAACAAGATAATTAGGGGAAGATGCGAATCCATGCTCCAGAATATATCAATTGTAATACTATGTACATACTTAGGAGTTATCTTGATGTGAAGGCAACATAGTTTCGAGAGGCGTGAAAAAGTCTAGTTTCGGAAAACAACTCCGAAACGATTTTTGTTTCTTTCTTTCTGGGGATATATACTCTCTCTCTCATCTCAGTTCCGCCCTGATTGTCTTGTCCATTTCTGTCTTTCATTTTCCTTTGTGACTATTTGTACGTAGTGTTTCTTTAAATGTACATAATTTTGTGTGACTATCGTTACATCTTTCAGGCGCGTCAGGGTCGAACAACCATTGTGATTGCTCATCGTTTGTCAACAGTTCAGAATGCAGATGTTATAGCTGCTATACAGGATGGTGTGGTGGTTGAGAGGGGAAGTCATGATGAACTCATACAGACTGATGGAGTTTATCGTCAGCTGGTCACATCACAGGTGTGCAGGATGAACGAGAGTGATGTAATATATTGCGACGTTCTAGTTGTTCTGCGTGGCAGGATGTAACCCACGAACAAAAATTTGTTTGCCAAAACTATGGCGACCAATCCTGGAGCACAACCACAGAATCGCTAGAATTACATTTCCATGTGAATGGAGTCAATTTTATGAAAAACAAACAAAAGTTATTAGAACTTTCTGAATAAGCCCATTTTCTCAATGAGCTGGAAACGGTATGAGTTGTCGGAAGAGTGCGAGCTTTCATAACAGCGACTCGATTCAATTCATTACCACAGTGTCTTTAGTTATTTTTTTATTCAGTTTTTTATTCACTTTCGCGGTAGACATACAAAAAGGAGGAAAAAGGAGATAATTCTGGTAATGACGATGAAAGCGACAACGAGGAGATAGAGAATAACGATGTGAAAGGTTGGTAACTTGATGTGATTTATTTAAGGCCTTGTCACCACTGCTTAAGTAGTATTCATCACTGCGAAGATTGCTTTTATATTTATTGGTGTGATTTTGTTTGTTCCATTGTTGTTCACCACGAAAATGAGAGAGTAATCTTGTAAAAAATTAACTGAGCGAGGTTTACTTGTGAGTAACTGTACTAAACCATAAGTTTTCTTTATCAATCCTAATCTCTTCTCTTTGTCCGGGGTAGAGCCTTGTTAACAAAAAATAGATGATGCAACAATATCTCTCTGCATCCACGTTTCACTCAGATCCTTAGTTTAGTTGTTCGAGATATCGATTATTCACTATTGCTTAGATATTTCCTTTTGAATTTCAGTATCGACACCAACAGTGAAATTTACTCGAAGCACTTCCCACATGTCAACTGACAGTAGACATGAAGAGAAGAGAACTTCGGCTTTAGACATTGCAACATCAAACAGGACTAAGGTAGACAATATATACATACTAAACAATCATAATAGGAATGGCTCTTTTCGATTATGGTTGCTTATGACTTGCTGGGAAACTTAAGATCACAAGTTTGCGTTTCAGGTTTGGGTTGGTCTTATTTATCGATATTCCGTCAATAACTACTATTTTCTTATCGACCTGACGTCCATGAGGGAGTTTTGCCGCCATAGAGAAGTTTCAAAAGTTGAAGGGAAAAGGAGTGCTGCACTTTGTCAGAGCAATAAGCAGAGCGCGGGAAATCACATCAGTTGCTCAGCTAAAAAAATTCGTTGTCGGCATTGTCGGTTATACCTGTTGTAGCTTATCCAGGCAGTTTAATGACTAGTTTATGGCGTATACTCATTCGAGATTTGAATTTCCTGCGGCAATTGCATTTATTCTCCTACTTACCTTACAGTTTTTTTTCATACGTTGATAACAAGGGTAAAGATGATGAGGAGAAGATTTTAGAGGAAGAAGTTGAACCAGCTCCTGTTCGTCGCATCATGAAGTTGAACACGAAAGAATGGCCTTACCTTCTATCAGGGAGCGTCGCTGCCATTATAAACGGACTATTTCCGTTTGCATTTGCTCTGCTTTTGTCAGAAATTCTTTTCGTAAGTGAATCCATTTTTTTTTGTTGCAATCAAATCTAAATTCCATCGCCAAGCTTAGCTTTCTCTCCGTGTAAGCATGCGTCACCCTTCTTAACAGTTTATGAAAGCCTCGTATTTTTAGTTACTTGCACACAGTGATTCTTGGAAAGGTTTTATAACTCTGTTAAGCTATAAGTGAGTTCCAGGTTCAAGCTAGAGTCAGTGTCGTCAGACTGTGTGAAGATCGAATTGATGAAACACTAGGCCTCAATCAGCGTGCTGGGCCACATTGCATGGAAATACTCTAATGGTTTTTCTCCTGCCATATTCGTGTCATGCTCAATTTGAACTACTTGTCTCGTGTATTTGTTCTAACAACAGACATGTGAAAACAGTGGAGAAGAAATTATGAACACACAACGGCTTTATTACTTTTTTTTAGATCTTATCGCATGAACGCGGTGTTGTGATATACCTTTCCAGCAAGCCATAGATGTATACACCATCATGTGTCTGGGTTATTAATTCTCTTTCATTTTCAGGTTTTTTCTTTGCGGGACAAAGAGGAAATGGAAAAGAAAGCGGAATTCTGGTCCCTGATGTTCTTTGCTGTTGGTGTGACGAGCTTTTTCTCAAACTTAATCAGTGTAAAGAGGAGTTCCTTTTCTTTAAGCCTTATTCAGCCATTATTCTCTACGTCTTTTTCCGAGTGTGATGTTAGTGAAAACACTAATACAGTGAGCTGAATAATCTGACAAATTTCTCTCTTTAGAGCGCGATGTTTTCCAAGTCTGGAGAACTTATGACTTTACGATTGAGAAAGATGGCTTTTGAAGCGATTCTTAAACAGGTCAGTAAACCGAACTAATAAAGGCCAGGTAGATCTTGACAATACTTGAAAAATTTTCTTTCCCTCTTCTTTTTCTTGGTCTACCGTCTCCTTCCTCGTTTATGCTCCTTACTTTCTCCTTAAAGGGTTCTCTTCTCTAAAGCGTGCGCGTACTCAAGAGTACCGAAAATTTGTCGGGTACTTAACGGAGTCGAGCGTCTACAAGAGCTATTATCAGTTTCAAGCTCACCTGCCTTGTTATTATTCAACAGGAAATATCGTACTTTGATGATCCGCTGCACAGTACTGGGGCATTGACCACAGCATTGGGGACACATGCCTCGGCTGTTCAAGGGGTAATTCTGTAATATTTATGAATTCCTTTCATTGGTGAACAAGAACAACTTGGCATTGCAGGTAACATGCATATGGACATCAGAGTAGATCACAAAGTATGCTTTTCTGCCTGTCTTTTTGTGCTTTTTTAGGCTGCTGGCAGTCGCCTCGCCATTGTTGTGACATCTCTAAGCACTGCTGTTGCCTGCACCGTGTACGCTTTTTATAATGGCTGGAAGTTGACCCTGGTAGTCCTTTCATTTATTCCTTTTCTCATAATTGCAAATGCAATTCAAATGAAAGTAATTTATGCAAGTGGAAAAGGTTCTAAAGATGGCGAAGATGAAAAACTTCAGTCCGGCAAGGTGAGGCCTTATTCGTGATAAGAAAATTTTTGCATTAGAAATCGAACCATATCTGTTATGATCATGTCATTGTTTATTGCAAAGTAATTAATTCACCATTACACTGGCTCTGATCTACAGTGATTATTAATCTTACCATCAAAATAAAATACAGTTTTATCGTTAAGAGATCATGGCGTATGTGTGAGGAACTAAATATAAATCATTTTGGTCAGTCAATAAACTTTTGTCATGGCTTTTATACACTTTACGCCACAGATTGCAGTTGAAACAATACAGAATATTCGTACTGTGGCATCTCTCGGTAGAGAAAGCACTTTTTACAGCGATTATGTCAAGGCTTTGATGATTCCATACAAGTAAGTGACAGAGATGATTTGTTGCATTGAACCCCACACTAGTTGTTAGATACAAGGCCACGAGTCAGCCTCTTCTAAGGTCCTTCCGTGGTGCTGCCTGTCACAGCTGATTAGGGAAATTATCGTTGATGAATGAGTTGCCAGTAATCGGTTCCATGTGTTTGCGCAAAGATCTCTGGGATCGCCATGAGGCAAACATTGCAACTCGCCAGAAAGAAATGTGAGGCGAAAGGTTGTTTCGACGTCAAAAAAAACGATTTTGGTTAGAGATCATCGTTTTTTTGCCGCCGTTTCATCAGAAATGGGTATGGGTGGCATTGATACAAGGGAAGCACAAGGTTTTGTTCGAACAACCGTGAAATATATAGTGAAATCTAGCGGTTGACTTTCCTCCATGCACAAGGGTTTAGTGAAATTGACATTGCGTAATGATCTCGAACTTTAGAAATATTAGTTTTAAATCAGCAAGAATAACTCAATAAAGCCTTTTCAGTTTTATTTACTTCTGTTAAGTCTACACCTAGCTTTTTTCTTGGTTTGGTAAAAAAAAAAAACAAATAATAAATAAACGCCACAACAGCTAGCAGGAGTTTGAAATTGAGTGCTTGAGCATTAAATATTATCGTGATATATTAGTTATTTAACACCTACAGTGCCTCTTTGTTGTGATCAATGAGAACGAACCAGCGTTGACAATCGGCTCAAAACTGAACCCTTTCTTATGCGACGATGAGTATGAACAAATGGGTCGCTTAAAGAGCGATGCACAACCGATTATGTATACGTCCATATTTTCTGCCGGAGTTCCCGTGATCTTGCTTTTCCTGACAAGGTCCTTCAAGGAGTTCGAGGAAGCAAGTGGCAGCTCAAATACCCTCGGATTTTTCTGGACAAATTATGTCTAAAATTCCTTTTGTTTTTTATTGCTTATTTTAGCCTTCCGAAGAGCGAAAGCTCGGTAAAAACAATTTCCATCTCCGCTGACGACGACTTCTCTCCTTTGAGGTGTATTTTCAGACATCGCAATATGTTTATTTAACACGCTAATAAGTACAAAAACAGGCTTTACATACAAAAATACAACTAAAAAGACTCAAGTGAGTTATATCCGTGCGATTTAAGGCTAATTTTGTAACATGTCGAGACCATTACAGGATAACGATTTCACAATTATATCGTAGACCTTACGCAAGGAGAGAAGTTAATCGGTATATTTTGTGACATATTTCGTGGTAATGCTAACAAAACCTTCCTCTTCCCTCCTATCTAAAGTCTCTTAATCCATTTATGATAAAACTGCGGCTAAAAATTGTTTATCTCTCTCCAAAATCTTTTTTTGGACGTCGAAACAACCTTTCGCCATATGTTTCCTATTAACAACTTGGAATGTTTGCCCCGTGGCGATCCCAGAAATCTTTACATAAACACAAGGATCCGATTACAGGCAACTCATTCACTGAGAGGCTCGTAACAGACTGTAAAGAATAGAATATCGCGCACCTTTCAATGCCAACCACTGCTGTTTTAAGGGTATTGTTATTATTGTGGAGGTTCAAAGCGACCTTCTCAGTGCTCCTACACCCTATACACGAAACCTTACACTTACATTACACCAAGCTCTTCTGGTTTCTAACACTGAAGGACGTTATCATAACGGTCTTAGGCTTCTCTGCCACCTCTGAGCCTGAACCACAATAGAAGGTCATTCTTTGGCTCCGTAGTCTTTGCAGTTTGTAAGGGTCACCCAGCCATGAGCTCAAAACACCAGTTGACCCCAATAGCTTTAGGTGTCACAGAGATTGACTATACACGAGCTTTCCCATCCTGCTGAGATGACATTCATAGAAGCGATTTATCTTCTGTTTAATTTTATTTCCTTGATAGAAAGGCCTTGAGACGAGCTCACCTTCAGGGAATATCATTCGGCTTGGGAGAAGCGTTCAAGTTCTGTGCCACCGGGGCAGCATTTAAATATGGGGGATATCTTGTGTCAAACGGAGAAATGGCCATGGATGAAGTATTGAAGTAAGATATTCGTTATTTGTTGTCCTAGGGCATAACTAACTATTTCAAATGAAAAGTTTCCGTTTGAAAATTAAATTTAGATAAACCCATGAGAATAACCTGACAGACGGACGACTGGTTACCGTTCTTTTTTCCTCTTTTCAGAGTCATAATGTCCATCGTGATTGGCGGTGCAACCTTGGGCCATATCAGCGCTTTGTCTCCAGACTATGAGAAGGCAAAGATGGCTGCTGCTCGTCTCTTTAAAATCTTTGACCGTAAATCTCTTATCGACAGTTCGTCTCAAGTTGGTTTAACTCCGGTAAGAAATTTCTCAGCCAACTTCATGATCACTGATGGGCCTTTTTACTGATTGTCGTCCCGCATGTTGTGTGGTCCTGTGTTACATTAATATCAATGCCGTTTCTTGTTCTTTTCACATAGAGTTCTGTGTCGGGAACAATCCAGTTACGCAGCGTACGTTTCCGTTATCCAACTCGACCAGACGTCAAAGTACTACGCGGATTAACACTGTCAGTTCAGAAAGGACAGAAACTTGCCCTTGTTGGCTCGAGTGGCTGCGGAAAGAGTACAGTTGTTTCCCTCCTGGAGAGATTTTACGATGCTCAGGACGGAGAAGTGGTAAGTTAGCGGCTGTTCGAAGACCAGTCTTGAAGATTATTTCATGTTTTTGGTCGCAGTTCTGTTATTACCCTGACCTCAAGTATGATCGCACTGACTCCCGGAAAGCATTTTGGTTTGTCTGCAATGCATCCAAATCAGAATCAATCACAAGTCAGAAAACTGTCACTGATTCATTGAAGCAAGTGAGTGAAGGAAGAAAAAGCAAAGATAGCGGTGTTGTTGAAGGCCTAAATGTAATAACTGTCTTAAATGTAATTAAATCTTAAATATATTAACATTTGGTCCTAAACGTAATAAGCTTCCAATGCAATCGTTTAACTCCATATTGAGATGTTAAAGTGACAGCTGTTGCACCGGAAATTCCTCTGACCAGTATTCATGTCACATCGCGGGCTCGCTGATATCAATCAGTTTCTTTTCATCTACCATACTTAAGAATAGAAGCATTTACTGCAAACCGTTATACTGATGAACAATTGGCATCAAATGAAAGCTGGCAAAACAATGAGCTCAGACTCATAACAACAATAGCTTTTGGAAAATTGTGATAACGTTATACTCGTGTGATCAGTGATGGAGTTTACGAGTCATAAACCGAATTACGAACTAGGACAAGGAAGTCCGCTGACTTGTAGTTCGGACAATTTGCAGGCTGGGCTAATATATATTTTTTGTCTTTCCTTACCTGAATAGACATTGTTAGCATGCACAGTTTGTTTCCCAATTCGGACCTCGTAACAGCACTCTAGAGGGTTATTTCTTTCAAATTCACGAATATCTTCGTGATTATAAAAATATGGACAGAATAATTTTTCTCCCCAAGAGAACGTAAATAGGACAATTATGTTCTCTTGATCTTGAAATGCATGCAACAAATTCGACAAACGAATAAGGTATTGCACGGTTCTGCATCAAATTATACACTCAATGACTTACATTTCATGAGTGTAAATTGAAAGAAGCTGCTGACCAGCACATCATTACAAATCACTGGTTCAGATTGCCAATCACAAAGAGACGTTTAACAAAAAATCTGGAGCATGTCATCAACAAGTGAACTCATCGACGATTGCATGCACGAGCCCATCTAGGAGACTGACTTAAGGTCGTTGACCTACGTCTCTAGCAAATGAAAAGACGCTGATTAATATCAGCGAGCCTGCAATATGCCACGAATGTTGGTCAGATTCTTTGGTGCAACAGCTGTCACTTAAACATCTCAATGCAGTTTAACGATTGCATTAGAGGCTTATTACATTTAGTTCGTCATAAATGGTGTTAAAATTGAGAATTCACTGATCCGGCAAAGAGGCAGTAATTAATCGCAAAATAATCTTGCATGAACTGTAGTGGACGACCATTAACTACCTGAAATTGTGGTTGAAAGTCTTGGTAAGTTTAGTGAGTCAATAAAGACAAGCGGATGGCTACTGTTTTACTACTAATTTGAGGGCTATAATTCTTTCCTTTTGTTCCTCAGGCTATCGACGGTAACGATGTCCGCACTCTGAACATTCAGTGGCTGCGCTCCCATATTGGTATCGTGTCACAGGAGCCCATTTTGTTTGGCTTCAGCATCGCTGATAATATTGCTTATGGTGACAACTCCCGTCAAGTCAGCCAGGATGAAATAGAAGCAGCGGCTAAATCAGCAAATATACACAGCTTCATTAATTCTCTCCCCAATGTAAGAAACATTTAAGGCTTTCTTATCTAGATTTTCACAATCATAGACCCAGAACCTTTTTAAAGTCATACGATCGCCAGACATTTTACTGAAATGGTTTATTACTCCCAATGAGCATATTACAACTTGAGCAAGTGTTGCAGTTGTTAAAAAGCCGATTCTCATAAGTCCTTCCCCACATAATCTCCAGACTTCAGGACAAGACGAGGCAAGTTTCGAGCGCCGAAGGCGCGAGCCGCTAGGTGGGTCTGGGGGCATGCCCCCCCCAGAAATTTTTTAAATCTAGAGGCTCAGAAGTGCTCTTTAAGCATTTTCCGTGGCATTTTTCTTCAGAAAAGTCAATCTTGGGAATTGCCTCGTCTTTCCTCATGCTAGCTACGGCCCTGATCTCAGCATAGCTGTGTTTTTCCGCATGTAGGGTTATAACACTCTGGTAGGAGACAAGGGGACTCTCATCTCAGGAGGGCAGAAACAGAGGATAGCTATTGCCAGGGCACTGGTTCGTAATCCGCAAATTCTGCTTCTTGACGAGGCTACCTCTGCATTGGACACGGAGAGTGAAAAGGTCAGTCAACTGAATATATTGTGTTTCTTAACGTGGATATTTACAGCGTTGAGGTATAGTGTTACAAACAAAATTTAGTTTAAACGACTGTGAATATATGAAAGTCATATATTTGTACTGCGGATAAAGACGCGAATATGAAAACGATCTTCGCAGTAATGAACGCGACTTGAGCAGTGGTGAAAATCAGGGCTGTACGGGATTTGAACCCATGACCTTTGCGATACCGGTGCAGCGCACTACTAACTGAGCTAACAAGCCAACTGGGAACTGGTCATTGTGTTGGTTCCAAATAAACCCGTGAAGTGGTGAATAAATGACTGTGAATATATGAAAGTCATATTTGAACTGCGGATAAAGACGTGACTATGAAAGTGATCTTCGCAGTAATGAACACTACCTGAGCAGTAGTGAAAATAAGGCCTGTTAGCTCAGTTGGTAGAGCTAACAGGTAGATTATAGCTTGACCGAAACGATCATAGTTAACCGAAACAGACATAATGCCTAGGTACGTTACACAAAACAAAAGGGAATTGATAGTCACGCTATCACAATTCGAAATAGCCTTCGTAACAAGTAGTTTTTGGTATTTTAAAGTTTAAAGTCGTCGTACAATACTTACAATACTATTCGCAATCCATCACTTTAGCACCATAAAAGAACACCAACAAATTGTAAAATGTGTGGGATACTATGTCAATCTGTATTGAGCTTTTTACGAAAAACTTAAAGAACATACTCGATAATACCTAAACCCATGCATTTATTGCTTTAAATTGTACAATAAGTTATTATTACCACTATTTAACAACATTTACTTTAATACATTTCTACTATGAATTACAATAACATTAAGGGTATAGCGAACACGAAGTGGCGAAGAAGACAAAAGAGTAAGGACACATTCATTGTAACAATGATGCAGCTCTTTGGATAATTTGTAGTCAATTGCTGAAAGGTTTTTCCTATGAAATGTACCTTTTTGCTCTATTTGGTATGTTACCTTCCTCAAAAAACAAAGGTGGATGGTAACTTTTCCAAAAATTTGCATTGATAACAGCTAATGATATAAGATGATTAAGGAAGCTTTAACTTCAAATATCTTTAAGGGGGCGACTCCAGTATTATAAATGTTAATGATAATTAATTTGTGAAAATGAATTATCATTCATAATTATTCATATCATCATTCATAATTTGTAGTACTGGTAATATTGCAAGTGTTTTTTGGTACTCTGTAGGTTGTGCAACAAGCTCTGGATGCTGCAAGTGAAGGTCGCACAGCTATCATCATTGCACATCGACTGTCCACAGTGCAGAACGCAGACATTATTGCAGTGATTCATCACGGGCGCGTGGTAGAGCGAGGCACTCATCAAGAGCTGTTGAACCTTGAAGGAGTTTACCACAGTCTTGTTACGGCGCAAATGCAGAACACAAATAATTAACTCAGCGTTTCTCTAAAAGCTAAAAAGAGGGCAGATATAGTTCCTGACAATACCAAGAAAAAACGAAATTATATCAAATGATTATCCATTGTAAAACTAATTCGGGCCAACGAATCTATGTATTTAAGTTTGCGAGTCAAACTTTGAGGTTCATACCAGTAAAAAACTATAAACTGGGATCTTTTTTATACTCTTATGAAAATAATTATACCGCATAACATATAAGCTGAGAGGAAGTTCACAATAACATAATGACTTGCGTTTGGCTCTCGAAGGGTATTTTTAATTCCCTCTTCTCATGCAAGCCACTCGTCGTTGAGCCAAACAATCCAATTAAAGCGTCTATCAAACTACGGTTAAAGCTGCTCTGCGAAAAAATGTGAATTGGCGATGATGCAAATATAAATTTCGGGATAGCCCGGTGTAGTTTTAACTTCACGTGCAAAATTGATTGAAATTCATTCTGTTACAAGGGATCGTTTGTTCGATTAGCTAACGTTATCTTTATTCTCTTAATCCCGTGCCTGACCGTCTACATCACTAAGGAAGGAAAATGGATTGAAGAATCAACAATCGTGCAGTGTGGTGGCGCTAAGGCTCAAGATGGAAAAATGCGTTGAATCATAATTACAAAAACAACAATGGGCGTAATTATCAATTTACAAAATTCTCATTTATTGACTTGGTCCTTACCGACAGAAGAAATCTTTCAGCTGAACGGACAAAATCGGCCTATGGCAAATCTTCCAGTTGTCAATTTTCGTTCTCAGCCATTACCACTGAATACGCAACTTTCGGTTCTTTTCGCATATTTGTTTTCTTCCCCTTCTAGGAAAGTTTGAACGTCACTGTCTTTGCGCGGTACGGCTTTTTTAATGTTTTTAGCTGCCATAATCCGAGAGAGTTCCGACAAATTACCTTGTATTGAGAATCGTGAAGGCTTTGCCGTTCATTCATCAACCTGACCGAGTGGCGCGAAAGGCGAGTGACGTGTCAATAGCTGACTGGCGATATCAAACACACATGAAAAAAATATCGTATTTTTTCACTCATGTGTGATGTTACGGCTTTTCTCAGGGCTAGAAATATTTGTATAACATCCTTGTTCATATGATGGCAGACATTATCTGGCCTTAGAGATGTTATAAAATTGTATTCTTTTTCTGAGAGGTCTTTTTCTTTTTTCGTCGAGTGGTTTATTAGGATATAGTAGTGGTTCATCAGGACAGCAAGGCATCATTAAGACATATATTGATTCAATTCTGATATATCATGAGGCAGATATATCAATCTTTTATCCAAGTCAGGTTTGCCTTAAGTGATCTGCCTTAATCAAATTCAATCGAACCAGTTTTGCCTTGCACCTGCCAGCAATGCTAGGATCTGACGAGACACAGCTCGTCTATGAATTGAGTAACATCCAGCTTAAGTAAGAAGTCATTCACAGTCAAGAACTCGCCGATGAGAACTTGTCTAACAATAAAAATAGATAGAGATTCATGTAAGAGCACGCCACTCTCAGTAGATAAGGGATCGGACACGATCATCAATGAGAGCATCAATGTTCCAAGGAGATCATTAAAGGGACTTCTTCTTTTTTACGAGCCATGTGTCGTTGGTACTAGAGTCAGTGAGAAGACATTTGATCCCGACATCACTGAAGTAAAGGTGATTGTCAAAGGAATCCCAAATAAGGTTTACAGTTAGGGAATGGAGACAAGAGATATGTGGGAAGGGGTCTTCAGAAGATTTGGAAAGGAAAACAGGGCGATGAATGCAATAGACTTTTCTGCCGGAGATAGACTCGCTCTATTCATCGATCTCAGGATTATGAGAGACAATGATCTCTATGGAAGAGATTGAGATTGGTGAATACGAAAGAAGGAGTTCAGCTCGCAATTAACAGGAAAGCGTCGGGCTCAGGGAATGTTAAATGTCACATCTTCATCCTCTCAGATGCTCAGCTTAACATCAACAGAGAGCTTGAAAGCGTGACCTATTAATATGGTAAATTCCTATTTATAAAGCCAAATGTTTTATCATCTCCCTCAAAATAATTTCGAATTCACTACACACCTACCCGCTTACAGGCTCAAAATTATCTGTTGCAACAGACAAGATTTTCAAACTGTTTGAAAAAATGGATTTGAAAGATTTGTAGCGCTCCAAAAGAAAGGCTCGAATTAAATTTTTCTTTTTCAGTTAATGCCTCATGTATTCTTCAAGATTCTGAACGTCATATTTTATTCTTATAAGGGTCACACAATATAATTTATATTTATAATTCTTCATCTCATCTCTTCTCCTCTGGCTCTCGAATTGCCTTTATGTTTGATGAAATGGGTTTGGATATTCATTATGTTGAATGCCGTCAAATTCAAAAGCTAAATTTAGTGTATCACAAACGCCATCTAATTCAAGCAAAAATCCTGTCTGATGATTTATGAGCCATGAGGGCCTGACATTAGGAAATTTCTCATTGAAAATATTCTCAAAGATTTTACAAAATCTTTCCTCGTTAACAAATTTTTGTCATTTCTTTTATTTCTAAATATAGATAAATGGCAGACGTTTTCCAAATGTCAGAACAGATGAAAAGCATGAAAATGTTTGAAATAAGAAACATGGCAAAAGAAGCAGGCATCAGAGGTCATACAATTGTGAAAAAACCAAAACTGATCTCATTGAATTCATGTATAATTCATGTATAAGAGAGTAAAAAAACGCCAAATCATCGTACCTTTCTTTGTTTGGCGAGAGATAAAAAATAAAAAGCTACTCGCTACTCACAAATTCCGAGCTAAAAAAATTGCTTGGTTCTGAGATTGAGGAAAAGAAACGCATATCAAACCCTTAAATTTGCGCAAAAAATGATGAAAGGTTTGAATTAAAACTCAGAAGGAAGCCATGGATTTTTTCAGAGTCAGCGAAATAAACTTGCAAAAGCGATTAAAAATACAAAAATCATTGGTAATGGGGATGAATACAAATTTGAAAGGTGATAACTTTTTTTAAAATTTTTGACAATAAAATGGAGAACAAAAAGGTTCCAGAATTAAGAGCTGAGGCAAAACGGCTCGGATCTAAAAGAAGTTCACGATTGAGAAAGCAGGATTTAATTGAGTTGATATCTAATATTCTTGACCATCCAGTTCCAGAAATTGATGCTCCACTTCGGTCACCAACAAGATATGTCCTTGTCAGGCCTCAAGTTGAAATAAACCAACAGAGAAAAAGGGAAATAAAAGAAATCCAGTATCAAATCAAGAATCCAGTATCAAGTCAAGAAGAAGTAGAGCGAGAAAGAAAAATCAATGAAATCAAAGAAACTAATAGGGAAAGCATTCAACTCAAAATTAGACGAACAGCCAGCGCATTTAAAGGTTTTGCGAGGCAATTTAGAATTGAGGGTATAGCAAGCTTGGATCGAGAGAATTTTTGCAAAGAGCAAAGCTTGAAGTTTTGAAGGTAATAAAGAGAATGGCAGGAAAAGAGTCATAGTTATTTTGAATTGTGAAATGGTTAGGGGAGAATTATTCAATGAGAATGTTGAACTTCTGATCCTCATTTCCAAAGCAACGTGATCGAAAGTCCTGAAGCAACTAACGATTCTTAAGAATTTGACAGTTCCAGGGGTGCCATTCAAGAAAGAATTCAGAATTTTAATCAAAGAGGAAATAACTGGAGATTTTAAAGAGTGACATCTCTCGCCATCCATCTTGCAGAATACAGACTGTCAAACGGCAGCTCTTACATCGAACTCCCAGAATTTAGTCAAAGTAAGAAAGTAGTCATAAACATGGAGAATAAAGATGAAGAATGCCTCAAGTAGGCAATAACAAAAGCACCCAACCCTGTAGTCTCAAACCCAAAAAGAATAACAAAGATTCTCAAAACACAATCTGAGAAGCTCGACTGGAGCGGCATTATCCTCCCTGTCGAGCTTGACAAGATAAGCAGGTTGGAAAATCAGAATGAAACCATTGTAATAAACGTGCTAGCCTTCGGCGAGGTCTCTACGCGGTTTGGCTATGAACGAGCCTCTCCGAGACCCGACTGAAAGCTTGATTTTTGTCAATTGAGGATCAGTAAAGAGGAAAATAGGAAGCACTTCATAAACCTTCTTCTTATAGCAGATGATGAAAAGAAGCACTACTGCCTGATAAACAACATGAGCAGGCTACTCCCGAGTCAAACCTCAAAGTACAAGGAAGCGAAACAATATTGCCTTAGGTGACTGAATCACTTCTCAAGCAAAGAAAAGCTTGCACTACATAAAGGGTATTGCTCAAGAATGAGACAGTCAGGATCGAGATTCCAGACGAGGATAGCATAATCAACCGCTCAACATGAGTCAGTCGTTGTGGTTCATGCTGACTTTGAGGCTTGTACTAAACCAATAAGTGATTGTGAGCCAATAAGTGATGGGAGTTTTACAAAAAAACATCAAAAGCATAAACCATGTGGGTTCTGCTATCATATTGTCTGCTTCAGTGATAAGCTTTATTCTCAAGGGCCAGTCATCTACAGAGAAAATAGTGAGGATGAAGATGTTGCTCAGACCTTCGTTGAAATGCCCGAGAAGAACATCAAGAATATTCATAAGGAATTCGATTTTGCCATGAAGATGATCTTCGATCAAGAGGAGAGGCTTAAGTTCAGAGCAGAAGTGTGTTGTTGGATTTACAAAGGTTCGTTTGACAATAACAGGGAAGTATCGTGGAGCAACTCATCCCATCTATTCCTCAAGAATCTCGGTAAAAGCGAAGGAAACATCAAATGCATTCCCGATAATGAAGAAAAATACATCCACTTTACCGAGGATGTCGTCGTTGCAAATTTTAGAAATAAAGAAGGTAAAGAAGTTGAAGTCAAGAGTGAGCTTTGCTTTATCGACAGCTTCAAGTTCATGGCTTCTTTCCTTGAAAAATATAGTTTCAAACTCTGCGGCTCGGCCGAAGGCTTGGGTCGCAAAGCGGTCCCTGACCCGAAGAGCTTGCCTTCTCGGGGACTGCGTCTTCGAGGCTTGCCAATCGTGTCTTGTGAACTATAATGAAATGGAAAGAGAACTTTCAAGAATCCACTATAGTCCTCAAGGGTTTTGGAGGGGATTACCAGCTGTGAAGAAGTTGGCTCAAGAAGCTGGAGTATCTGACGATAATGCAGAGATTTGGCTGATGAGGCGAGCCATCTGGCAGATTTATATGCTTGAGACCAACTTTTGATGTTGAATCTCTAGATGCAGTTCATCAAGCTGGTCTTCTTTTCCTTCGGCGAGGGAGGAAAGACTGCAAGATCACGGAAAGTCTTAAAATATGCATTTAAAGTTGTTGATATTGCAAGTAGATTCAAGGCTATCGAACCTCTCACCTCAAAGGATTCTTCTGAGGTCTCAAGGGCTTTTCAGACAATCTTTAATCTTTTTTAAAAAATTGATCCTGGGCGTGAATTCATGGATGGTGTCAGAAGAGAAATGGCAAAGCATGATGTGAGGATAAGAAGAAGGAATGAACGCTCACAGAGATCAGGGAATCGTAGAGCGATTCAATCTAACTTTGGGTCAACGTCTCTTCACTTTCCAATACAGTCAGGAGATGAACTTCAAAGAGGGAAAGAGATCAACGGAATGGGTGAAGGGGCTTCCAGAAGTTGTAGTGGCTTTGTATGGTGAAGTGACCAGGTTGACAGGAAAGAAACCTTTTGATGCAATAAAAGACAAGTCGGTTGACGCAAAGAGTTCAACGACTTCTTTAAGACCGGTTGGCCTGAAGGAAAAGAGTCTCGACGGCTCAAAGAATGTGAGATATCTTTATGTCACCGGTGAGCTGGAAGGTGGCCAGAGGCGAGCCACAGATCCCGTGTGGTCTCCCGTGTGGTCCTCAATATCGAAAAATCACTTGTGAATTAAGGTGAGCCTGTACTCTACTATCTGAAAGATGGACCAAAGCGTGGTTTCGTCAGAGAAGAGCTTCAGATTGTTCCACCTGGAACTGAGTTGCCTCCTGAAGGAATTCGTTGATTTGAAAATAAAAAAAAATGAGTTTCTTAATAGCCTCAAGCAATCCTGATGAATGAATTCAAGAAAATGGTAAAGATATGAACAATAAAAGATCGTCACTCTTGCTAATCCAACTGAACACCAAGACGCAGTGACCAAGGAGTATGTTGATGAAAAAACGGAAACAATCGATTTATTCTCTTTTTTTTGTCAAAATATGCTGCCAGGAGTCTCTTTATTGAGACATTCATCAAAGAAAAAGCAACATGTTGGTATCACACAGATCCAAGTCAAACAGTGAAGTACTTCATCAGAATAAATTTTATGCCATTGCTCTCGATCAATCAGGATTGTACTACCGTGCACCACAAAAAAAATAAAATTTCACTCATGCCGAGAATATCCACTTCGAAAAATGATGGAAGACACTGTTTCTTTTTTGATGAAAATGAGCATTTTTATCTTCTTTTTATAAATAATCTTAAAAACTTAACTGTCATCACTGTTATCAAGATATATAAGAGAAGTTTAAATGGAACAACAATATATACAAGAAACTGTTTGATTGGAAATTGATTAATTCAAAACTTTTTGCTTTCTCTTGAAAAATATAGAGAAGTTGTCATTAGTGGAACAATACCAAAATCAGAACCAGATGTACCAATCACTGTTGTTGGAGAAAACGCAAAATCATTCATTTTACAGAAAAAATCAGACTTAAAATTTGTTTCTAATGATGTGAAACCTTCAACAAGATTCAAGAGAAAAGCAAACTCAACAGAAGGAGGAAAGTGGAAAGTTGTCTGCTGTCACTGGAATATGGATAGTAATAGCGATTCTATAATTCATTCTTCTTCTCTCTGGTGTAATGGGAGAAAAGTTATCAACTTTAGTGCAAGAGGAATTAGTTGTAATAATTATGTATGGGGGAATTTTTCAAAACAAGATGGAGATGATTTTCATGAAGGTTTAACCTCAGACTGTCACACTCTTCTCGTTTTCAAAGAAACTCTTATGACGGAAGAACAAACCAGGGCACGCCACGACTTCTTCTTGCGAAGGTACAACATTTCTGCCGATCCTGTTGTATGAAACCATGAAGCATGCTTACATGTACAAAGACTTTGAATTTCTCAAGTGATTTTGTTAAATTCAGGTGTAATGATAAGTGATAATAATGCTACACGCATGAAATCTCCCCACAAAAAAATAAACACCCCGATTACGTGACAAGAGAATCGTTCAAGAGAATATTATTCACATTCTCTTCAGAACTCACGAGTTGAGACATTGTGAATATTATTCACCTGTGAAAAATTCAAGTTGTCTTGAAATCAAGGTTGACTTGAATATGTGCACAAAACTGTTTTTCGGAAATCAAGGTTGATTTCAAGGTTGACTTGAGATCGAGGTAAAATTTCATGGGTTGCTTTGAAATCATTGTTGTTTTCAAAATATGCCAGAATTCCCCTTTTATATCTACTAGTTTCAACGTTCCTGCTGGACATTTTGTCTATGATTTTCTAAGAGATTTTCAAAATCATTCTTCGAAGCTATTGTATCATTTCATTTAAATTGTCTACTCAGACGCCAAGTGCTTTCATGAAGTTGGATCTCAAACAAGAAATCTCAAAACCGTTTTTATGAAAAGATTCGATGTACATTCTCTCATGAGCTTATTTTAATTGTGAGAACGAAAGCAGCGCATAACATCAATAAAATAACTGATGGGAAGTTTTCCGATAATATATAATATTGAATTCTTCATTCAGCTGCTTAAAATAACAAGAATTCATTCTTCTATATTTTCGAAATTGAAACGCAAAGCCTTGAATCGTTCAGTGATTGGCGAAATTTAGCCGGTATATTTGTAATAACTGCATGAATAAATTAAGACCTAATTGACTAAAGGACGATTCGAATTTAACCGAAAATTGATTAAACAAGTTCAATTAAAGGATAATAGTGACATGTTATGTCAAATTTTAAACCGCGCCAAGCGGGTTGGAGACTCAATTGACGTGAAAGTAAATCGAGTGTGAAGTGCTATCCACAGCCATACGAAAAATTAACGGCAAAGAATCTTTAGAATATTTGACAGGCAGGCTTAATGTCAACAGTTCAAGATAATCCCCCTTATTTATTCACTTCTTGCTGCTATTTCTTGCACGGTTTTTTAAGGCCTCTCCAATTTGTTCTTGTTTGTCTGACCGACTAATTAGGAATTTCACTACTTTGCTTTTGAGAAGCGTCTCGTAAGAAAGCTATTAGACATAGAAAGGAAATAAAACCCTCACAGCTTCGACGTCCTTTTTTATACGTTCAGTGAAAGGAAGATTCTCTTATAGCTTAATGTTCTGTTAAAGCCGCGAAGATTAAAGAAAAGTACCATGATTAATCAAAATTATGTCGAAAATGCAGGATTTGGCAATTCAGAATCAATTTTGTATTACTCAGCGGGCACAAAATGAAAGTTAAAAGCGAGTACGTGTGTTTTTCGACAGCGTACGCTTTGTTCTCGAAGGCGTAAATTAGACGGCAACAGCCGCCCTCAAAAGAATGATGGACGTCATTCCCTTCGTCTGCCCCTTTCACAACCTCCTTTGGAAACAAATTCTCAATATGAAACACTTGCATTCAGTCTACGTATGAGTTTTCCATATTAACGGAAGGGAAAAATCATCGACTAAGCTTTTAAAGGAGAAAAACTTGGTTCAATCAAAATAATATACACTATCGGCAAGCGTTATTGAATGTACGTCATCTTCCTGTGGTCGTGTACAATGCATAATATATATGCGGTCTCTTCACTTTCAAAGCACGTTTCAGGGAAATTCATAATGCATGTTTGAACTGATACATAGTCCGTGAAGCTTCAGAAGTTCGTGTCGAGATTCTCTACCTGTAAGACGGAATCAACGTAAATTGTTCTTTGAAATTCCAACCATGTTTCAATTTCCTGGCTTTCTCGTTTGACGCCGGAAGGTTTTATTCATCAAATGAGAGTCACTGTGGATCACCATCAACCTGTTATAGTTTTCAAATTTGTATCCCTATACTTAGGAAAGAGGTCTTTCTGTCGATAGATCCCTTTACTTTAGGCGAGTTATTAACAATTCCTGTTAAGTATTAGATTGCAAATGTTTCTAAAAAATTATATTTAAATGGAAAGCGAGACATCGCAGACGGCGAATTTGATATCCTTTCAATTTAAAAGGCTCCTGTAGAGATCGCACGGGTAAGAAAACACAAGACGTTTACATTTTTAAGTCAGGCATAGTGGAAATCTCTTGGAATAGAGGGTCTGAAAGGCATCAAACAGCACTCATCAGTGAACTTATCAACAAAGAAGAACCCATCGATAAACATGAAAGTTACATCTGCTCACAGACGCCCACCGAGAGAACAAAGGATAGGGAAATATAAAAAAAGAATTAACCTAAAAATAATTTTTCCCTTCTATTTCGTCTTCGCTACTGGACGCTAGGATCGGACATTTTCTTCCAGTGCTTCTTTTAGCTCATACTGAGTTCTTAACCGAGTACTGCTTTTTTCTTCTAAGTTGTGCATTCACGAATAGGAAGTTTGGCACATATCGCGTATTACATTTTCTCAACGGAAGCCAAGTGTTTACACCTGTTTTCTTTCCATCAAACATATAAATGAAAAACGAGGACAACTAAAATTAATTGTTAACTTAAATTATACACAGAAATCGTAATGAAACGCCTCTCCTGTCACTTGAAACGTACACCAATTCCTTAATATTCCCGGATAGGCCATTAAACAATCATTAAAACCTCTTTTGCTATCACGGTTTCAGCTTGGTGTTAACTTTTAATGATTTTGAATAAGATCAATGGTTCTTTATTGGTTTTTTAAATTTTCTTTAGATAGTGGGTTTTAGATAGAAACAAAATAGAGGCTCAGAGATCTTTGATCACTATATCAGTCTTACAGTGTCCAAAGTTTATCAGTTAAGATTTATGAATTGCCTAGATATGAGTTGGTTATCGCCAAACAGTCACCACGCGTAATTCATATCGAAATTTAATTCACCGTTGTACCTTTTTAAAAACATCTGGCGTGTGTTTCACGCATAAATTTAAGTCTTTTAATGAAGATATAAGTAGCATTCGAATGGAGCGATATGTCAGTACAGCCAGCCCTTTAGTCGAAAAGGAGTTCGCCAGCATTCTGAGGACAGTATATTGAATGTTAAAGGTACGTGAGGCATGTTCCTCTTTCAGTTAAAGAATTCACGAGAACTTAATGCCTTAATTTCTTTAAACACTTTTCAAAGTTAACACGTAAGTTTGAATCATAACATTCAAACATCGTTTAATTTGGTATTTATCAGAAACATAAACAAAGCAAACGCAATTGCAACCCAGTCCAATATATATTTCTAAAGGTCTTCCCATACCATAAATTGTGGAAGCGAGCCGACAAAAATTTCCATTTGAAGGCTTCGGTGAGCAAACGGAATAGTATTGCACTTCTGTTTATTTTGCAGATGAACTCAGTGACGTTGTCAGTCGTTGTCTTGACAGTAACTGCTCTACTTGTGATGTTATCGACTCCTGCTGCCGCAGATTGTCGGTATTGCTATAATCAAAAAAGAATATGTTTTACTACTTGTATTACCCAGACGTGTTTGGACAACTGCGACATTGGATATAATAGTTGTCTTCAAAGCTCATCTTGCCGACGATTTCTTCTTCGAGACGTTCTTAAAGAAAATTATAAAAATCGACCACAGTTACATTACGAAACATTGTTTTAGTCGGTAAACTAAGTATTTAATTTTAACGAAGCAACAGAAAACGGGGATGAGGATGAGATTCCTGTAAAATGAAGATGGAACACCGATCGAGATCTGTTTAAAGCATTAGTTAGGGTAATACTTAATTGCTATACGTTTTTCGTGTAAAAGTTCCCATAATGCAAATCATTAAACCAGGATAATTATAACAAATCATTTTATGAGAATTTGTTCTTGGTGGATAACACCCACACATTCGACTGTAACTCAAGTAGCTCGCAGCATTGGTGAAGGATAGAACTGAAGTAGACTAATGATATTTCTGGCGATCTGTTGCCAATTCGTTCATCTGGCCTGAGCTTATCCCGGTTTCCATAGCATGAAACGACTAGAAGCATTACTACTCCCCCCTGGATGAGATGCTGGTCCATCTCAAGGATACCCCCACCTCCTCAATATTTCCGCAGGCTTTCCCGACAATTCACTGCATGGTACCCCCTATATACTCCTGGTTAAGGCGCTGTGAAAATAAAGTGTTTTGCAGGAGACACAGTAGCCCGGTGGAGAGTGCTTTGGACTGACCGGTTTTGTTTGGTAAGGATCGGAAATTGAGGGACCACGGAGAGCGTATTTGGAGCGTGTTGGTTTTGGAAATAAGATTAATAAAAAATCCTCTAAAATTCTAGTTCACGCTGCAAAGTAATTCTTAAACAATTTTTTTTACGTCCAAATTTCAACTAACATAGTCAGAGGAAGAGGCCGATTGAAATAACCGAGAAAGAAGGAACTGACGGTAGAGTATGCCTAAACTTTTCGATTTGCTATCAGCGAAGAGGTTCCTACTAAAGAAATTCCCTTAAATTTCATATCGGAATCCACGCAAGATGTAAATTTTTTTTGAATACTCTATCCATTTTTCTACCGTTATGCTGAATTATTGAAAATTCTTTAAGTTATGTAATTAGTCTTTGAGACAAAGTAGTTGACTTACTCTCTAGAATAAGGTGAAAGTAGCCGAACTGTCAAGCTAACTCCTCAAGTATTACTGAAAAATTTAACCAACGGATCACATCAAACTACGTTTATCAAATCTTGTTTTCAAGATAATCTCTTTCGTGATGTTTACTTTCTAAAAAAATTGGCTTTCTTCCTTGGTTTTGTATCATCCCTAATCAAAATATGACAAAACTAAATTAAGACCAACATGAAGCAATAAAAAATTTTTAGGAACATACTGGCAGAACATGAACATGAACAAAGAGATCTTCTAAGAAGATAGAGGTCGAAAATTGTCACACCACAAGAAAATGAAAGAAAAGACGGAAGAGTGAGGAGCATCCCCGAGCAACCATCTTGCCCATGATTTAACAAAGTGCGTGCTCTTGGGACTACTACATTTCCTAATTATAAATTCCGTGCTGAAGGTGAAAAGTAAAAATTATTTTCTTGTCACCTCGAGAGAGGGTGTCGGTTTTAATGTAGAGGGGCCCCGAAAGGAAGAGTTAATTGCACTAATACTACAAATGAAGGAACTCTTTTCTGACTCGCTCATCAGTCCTCCTTGTTTATTGAGAACTGACAGACAACTCAAGACAAAAAGAGGAATACCAGCGGAAGAATAAGAGTAAATGGGAGCAGTGACAAAAAAAAAATTCGGGCCCATTCTAGGATTAGGCGATTTTCGTGAACTGGAAATGATCAGGAAAAGAAGCAAGGTGTTTCATAGGAAGTTTCAGCTCGGAAATCAACCTAAGTCAATAGCAATTGAATACTTCATTGATTAAGGGATTATTTTTGTTCTCATAAAATAGGAATTTTAACACTTCCTTCTAAAAAGCCAGGTGCTATGGTAAATGAACATGTACTCTGTACCTAATTCTCCACGAGAAGTAGAATGAGTTGATCATGGCTACTAACAGCAAACAGTGAGTATTATAGGATCTGGGAAAACTATTTCTTATTTCATGGAAAGAGATAATCCACATATATCCTGACATTTTACTAAGCATAGCAGGGCTGGAAAAAGTCCCGTCAAAAATGAGTTTAGTCCAGTCAAATCCATCGGTCAACCATTTCGTGGCAACTGCTCAAAATTCAATTTGGCCCATATTCTCAGGTTAGGTAGACCTTAACGTAAAGCAAAACGCTGCATAGTTCGTTTGGTTAAATATCGATTCGTTTTCGAGAAAATCGATAACAACCGAATCCTGAGAATTTGCCACATTTTGAGCTTACAATTTAGGGTGAAAAAGAAGGCTTCGCGTAACAAAATAACACACTTTAGGGAAATGAAATCTACTAAATCTTGAAGAATGATGCCAAAATATGTGTGAAAAAGAATTTGAGCAATTCCATTCCATTTACTTTGAAAATATAATTACATTCCGCGAACCCTCTTTTATCAAGATGAAAACTTTCCAAAAAATAACCTTTAATCTAAGCATGTGGTACTAAATGAAATACGTCGAAAAATCTGCATTTCAAAAGCCGAGTAATCGTTCTTTTACATGTCCAAAGGATTTTTCGGGGAAATGATTTAACGAGAAGAAATTGAATTTTAAAGTTGGATAAAATGCCCTGTTTTAACTGACCTTCCAATTTATGAAATAACACATAGAAATACAATTGTTTCAAAGATAGCATTCAATCAAAAGCGGGATTGACGTAAAAACTTAATGTTCGAAAATTGTAACTAGCGATTCCCACCACTAGTTCTAAACATGTAGCTCCGGTTGTTCTGTATCAAAGCATTGACCTTAGAAAGTGTATGCGAAATCAGCTCGGAATGGTTCCCGAATCGTTCCAATTGGTAGATACAACTGGTGTTCATCGACTAGTGCCAGTCCTCCTCTAACTTAAGTTTTCGTCAGGACAAGACGTTTATGACTTCTTTTCATTCTAACAGTTTCTACAAGAAGAATATTATTAGCCACTGTTTGGACTTACAAAATGAGAACAGTTTGCTCTCTGTCCAGGGGGCGTTTCAATTCGAAGGATTTAGCGATAAAATAGGGCGTGGTTGATCACGTAATGTGATTAAAAATAACTTTAAACGTAAATTGGAAGATTTTTCATGATTGGCATTAAATTGTAAGTCATGGGATAGCTTGAAAATATTTTGAAAAACCCCCCTTTTAAATTTCTGAGAAATCTTAAAATCTCCTTGAAGATGGACAAGATTCTCCCTTTGTGGGCGTGGCTGTGATTCCTTATCTCTCCACAGAATTAACTGATTTATGACAACTTATTATATTTCCTATTATACTTTTCCTTATGTTGGCTCTTCCCTGGCTTCTATCGTAAAAAGCTACCAGGATAATTTTGACGATACACTTTTGAACCCCGTCAGTCGTCATTCCTAAAAGAGTGTCTAAAAAAGTCTTTAGACGACACACATAAGGCCAAACAGAGCCATCAATTTCATTTTACCTAAAGAAAGACATTTTCGGCATCACTGACTGTTTCGTAGGTTAATCTCTACATATTCTGGTCAGCTTTACTAGTTTTACAGCCAAACCTGGCCACAACGCCTTCAATAATTTCCACAAAGGCTGCTTGCGCTTGCCAGTCATAGATGCTAATGCTTTCGTTACTTCCTTGGACAATTCTTCCATTACCTTCTCTGTTATCAGCTCATTCCTTTCTAGTTATGCTTCCTCGCTGGATTGATGTACGCTATACGTTTTCTTTGCTGACAAGCGGGAAAAAATCCTGCTATTTGTTGTGGGTGAGATAGTCGTTCTTGTCGAGGATATTGAAGCCGTCACTATGCTTTACTTGGAGACGCTCGTTGGATCTGCTCTTTTCTCAGTGTTTTCTCCAACTTGAAAGACCTCAGTCAGATATTTTTTTTTCTGCGCCACCGTGAGATTCTATTACAATTTATTGAACAGGGGTCAACTGCAAAAACCAATCATTCGCTCCAGTCCCCTCACGGTTATCTTTCCTTTCGAGTTATATTTTAGAGAGTATAGATCAAAACATGTCCAAATCCCATGTGAACATGAAACTGTCTTTTGCATTACGGAAGCCGATAGCAGAGCTTTTTCCGCAGTACTAGTTTCCTGTAACTAGCCCCAGCGAAAATCCGCGGGAACCAGCCAAATGTTTTACGCATTTTGAGACTAGTCACCAGTTCCTTCTAACTTTAAAGAGACAAACAAATTGAATAGGGAGAACCTGCATGTTGTGTGTTGCCTGATACTTAACAGAATGACAGAAGGCAAGCTGACTATAAACATCCTAATGTGGATCAAAGCTTACCAGATTCAATTTTTCCGTCTGCATTAATACAATGTCGTCAATAGAACGAGGATTCGAACTTACAATGGCTGTCGACTCTTTTTTTTATGCTATAAGCAACCTGGGGGTTTTTCGACAAGATAGGCAAATACCTGAGAAAATTAAAGTCAAGGCTTAAAATCAGTTTTCTTTAGGAAACGAAGAGGAGTCAGTAGGGTGAAACCAAGTTTGCAAAATGCAAACTTACCTGAGCCTATTTGAAGAAACACTCCAGTTTTCTTTAAAATTATTTATAAATCAATTTTCCTGATTCCTCGGTCGCATTTCGGCCACTTTTTGCCTCTTTTGTCGTGATTGGATAATGCCTCTGGCACTCTACACCTCACAATAGATCCCCGCCTCCAGTCCAGTCGCTTTTCGCGATGTAATGGATGAATGGTCATAGCATTTATGTTTGCAGGTTTAGTAAATACTGCTGCTCGGCTGAGGATAGGGTCAACTTCGTTCTCTGGACCGGAAAATCCTAGGCTTGCTGTATGGTTGGAAATTGGTTTTGAACTGGCCAGTTAAGGGATAATTTGTGCTTCTTTTTTCCTATCTCTGGTGTCAAATCCACACATTTCTCATACGACAGACTTAAAAGAACCACACACCTCCATATTCACTCAATGACACGAATCGCAACTAGCTGTGTTTACGAACGTTTCACTAAACCTGTTTCAAATTGGCGACTCCACTTTTAGACTACAAACAAATTGTGCAGTTCGCTCAAAACAAACGAAAACTGACACCTGTTTTAAATCAGCACCGACATTCTTAATTAAATTCATTCGAATAAAAATGATAGCGACAACGTTTTTATCATTTCACAAGGTTTCCCTGAGGCAAAGCTGCGAAACTTTTTTGGTTTCCTCAGTTAATGATTTTTCTACAACGATCACAACAAAAGCTATAAACGCCCGAAGCATGCA